TAAGCTAAAGGAAAATGAAGGAAAATGAACATTGAAAACATATGATTCGATTCCAGTCTTCTGATTGGTTTTTGAGATATAGCGGTTTTGATATTGCTGTCAAAGGCAAGTGGCATTTTCAAAGGCAAGTGCAAAGAGGCTTTTGCCAACAAACTGTTATTTCTGAATGCGCTGATGCTGGGATTTGGATGATTTGAAGCAAATGTAAAAGCATCCTAAAGCATCCACTCAATACCATTAGCTAATTTTTGGGGGAAGTGGTGTTTAGCGGCTTTTGCATCTGAACTTTTCATATATTTATCTGTAAACCATCACAATCCTTTAAAAAAGCTTCAAAAGTGTATAAAGGTAACACCACAGCAGCGTAACACGCAATCCTTTCAGTTCTTTTTTCCAAAACATCACTTAGTCAGCAAGTATTTATGCTCACAGAAAGGTAGACTTGCACAACAGGGAACCTGTCATGTGTTGAGTGAATCATTTTTTACATTACATGATAATTTATTTGCCTCTAAGTAATACCTTCCTCCCTTGAGCTAATTGAAGCTGGCGCCATCCTCCTTTAGTGGGTAGCAATTTTCTCTCATTACAGCAAATGTTTGCTCATAAGAGAAGACTCCGGAAGCCTAATAAGGTACTAATAAAAACAAAGCGATGACAGTTGCTGTCACCTGTGCCAAGTATTTTCATGCAGTGTAATTAGCGAGACAAGGCTTGTGATCCTTGTTCAGTGAGTTATCCAAGTTCAAAGACAATAAATACGTTGAAGAGATTCACATTATATTGCACTTTGACACGTACATCTATCTTGAGTTTTGAAACTCCTCGTGTGTTGATTATGCTGTTTATAGTAACATTCAGTTGACAGAAATCCTATTGAGTAAAGAAAGATAGATATCATCAGTCATCAGGTTTAATTTGGTGTGTCATAGCGTGCAAAACTGCGCAAATATATTTGCGCAAACAGATTGTTGCATTGAAGGAATCTAAATGCCTTCTCGAGAATTCCTACACTGCAGTGCTGAGCTCGTAATTAAAATGCTCAAGGTGTGTCCAAACATACCAGAAAAACCAGGAGCTCTCTTTAAGATATGTTCTGTACTCTCTGGAAAAAAAATCTGCCTCCGATTATTCCTAAAGGTCAAAAAGATCGGACAGGAAGGAAAAAAAGGATTTGTTGGTCAATCTCAGATTGGTGTGTCCTAGAGGATAATTTTCTGTCTCTTTTAAATGCAGCATTTAAGGCACAATAGCACTTCTTCTTCTCTCTCTCGTGGTGTGTATTTCTCATATGCCTCCTGTCAACTCCTATGATTCTCAACTGCAAACGTATGTCCTTCTCATTTATCACTACAGTTCAGCCGTCTCTCTCGGTCCATCTACGCAAAGAGTTGGATTGTGCTCAACAAGGTGCCTAAGGGCAGGGGCGTGACGGCTGAGTGTGTGCATGCGTGTGTGTTTGCGTGCGTGTGTATGTGTGTACAGGGAGGCGACTCCTCCTGAGTGGAGCCGCTAAACTGCCACAGTTTCTCCCCCGAGGAGAGGCGCCTTTCATCTCCCCGCTCACTGGCGCCTTCACAAACCTCAGATTGTCTGTGAAATCACCCTGCTTAATAAACGCGCTGAGGCTCCTGGGAACGACAAGCTAGCAGAATCTCACCCTGCAGCATTTGTGCGCATACAAACACACATAAAGACCAGTCCAACAAGCAGCTGATTGCTGCTACAGCTATTTATTACAAAACTAATTTTAAAAGAAGAAGAAAAAGAAGAAGGGTGATGTTTATTTTAACTGTGATTGCCCAAAGTGGGCAATTCCCCATCCAAGACGAGACTAAAGTAATTTATCTCTGTTAAATGCCTTGTAACTGTACAATGTCTCAGCCTTAGTGTCCACAACACATGATGGATACATTTCCTTTCTCTCTCTGAGCGCTAATTTGTTTTACTTTGAAACTAACTCTTGTGTTTGAAGAGTAAACACCCTAATGCTTTCGTTAGCAGCTTACCCTTGTTGCCAGGAACAAATGCTTTTTCCAAGGAGATTAGATGGCGTGCAAAGGAACTAGAAGACAACAAACGGCAAAAGAACTTTTAAGCAAATAATCACACTTCAATTTATACCTAGGACAGTAATGATACATTGCATTGTAATGCCTCAAGCGCTGTTTCTCGTACGAGTCAGGGCTGCAGTTTGGTTATTATTTTACAATGCACTGTTTGTAGGGCTTAGAACATACTTAAAGGGGCTTTAGGATTTTTTTTTTTTAGACATTAATAACTTTTTTTTATCAGCAGCGTGTGAACAGCTTGCATTAATTCATTAAATAAAAAGACCAACTTCTTTGGTTGTATATGAATGTAATCTGATTTTATGTGAAGGCTTTTTTTTTTGGCTGAGAAAAAAAGAATTATCTGTCAATGGGCTATATGCACAGCTAATGCTTTTCAGCCAATGATGAACTTCCGGTAAGAGCTTTATGTGACTATTTTCAATTCCATAAGGTTTCTTTTACAGCATCAACATTATAATGTAATTCTAATATATTCAGTTACATAAACTAAAGCATCTACTTGGTGGTTAAAGCATAAAAAGAGACGAAAGACGGTTTAAACGCAGGCATTGTCATTAACGGCAGGCTAGAGCAGAAATTAATCAAATTTATTTCCAAATTTTAAAGACATAGTACAGGAAATCATTTAATGCAGTGCTACTTGTTTAGTCTGGTACCCACTTTATATTGTAAGTCAGCCAGACAGTGAAGGTCCAGTTTTATACCTTAAACGCAGCGATTTTGTATGGGACGACAATTAACCGGTAGCCCTAAGGCTGGCGGACTTCATTTAAAAGTCTGTGTGCATATACCCTATTAGACACCCATACCTAGAACCTCTCGTTTACTCTGACACATTAACAAAAAAAAAACAAGACAAAAAATACATTTTTGTACAAAAACCTGTATCGATATTTACATATTCATCTAAATCAGAGATGCCCAAACTAGGGCCCATGGTAACCTTTGATTCCCATATGAGAATGGTTTATGTAACCTTCTATTAGTTGTATTATATCTATCTAGTATAGTATCAGTTCGATAAATTGTTTCATTGTTAAACTACAAAAACACTATGAAATTAAATGGTTCAATATAAATGGTGTAAATTTATCATATTTAGTTTGAAATAAAAATGTTTAGTTTGAAATTAAAATGTACATACAACGGATAGAGGAAAATGCAGACTTTGGTGAGTGAATCAAGGCATAGGCAGATTCTGTTTGAATGGTGTATTCAGCATTGAACTCCACTGTGTTTTAAATATGATTGTTTATGTTTTTATTGGAAAAAGTAAAAAAAGTTACTACTGCATACTGCATTTAGGTATTATGATTTAAAATAGATATATTTATCTTCAGCCCACGGCTATTAATGATATTTGGTTTTTGGCCCTTCATACAAAAAGGTTTGGGTCACGCTGATCTAAATGCTGTTTTCAACCTGCTTGGATGGAGACTAAATGTGCATCAACAGCATCACATCAAAAAAACTAAACAAAAGCAAAACAGAAGTGTCTCAGTAGTCAGTATATCTTATGTAAATGACCCTTTACAAAATAAAATAAAAGTAAAGTAAATAAAAGGCTACTAGAGGTAAGTCATGGTGACTATATAAGACGGGGTCATAACACGGACAATTTACAGCTGAAGTCAGAATTATTAGCCTCCTTAGAATATAATTTTTTCTTTTTATAAATAGCTCGCAACAGAGGAGGAAAAAAATCACAGTATGTCTGATAATATTTTTTTCTTCTGGAGAAAAAAAAAATTCTCATTTATTTTTTTTTTTGGCTAGAATAAAAGCACATTTGCATTTTTTTCAAAACCATTTTAAACTCAACATTATTAGCTCGTTTTAAGCTATACTTTTTTTTTTGATAGTCTACCGAACAAACCATGGTTACACCATAACTTGCCTAATTACCCTAACCTGCCTAGTTAACCTAATTAACCTAGTTAAGCCTTTAAATGTCACATTAAGCTGTACAGAAGTGTCTTAAAAAATATCTAGTAAAATATTATTTACTGTCATCATGGAAAAGATAAAATAAATCAGTTATTAAAAATGAGTTATTAAAACTATTATGCTTAGAAACGTGTTGAAAAAAAATCTCATTAAACAGAAATTAGGGGGAAAAATAAACGGGGAGAGAGGGAAGGGTGGTGGAGCTAATAATTCTGACTTCAACTATATAAGCCGTTTTCATTTGACTAATCATGATGTATTGAGGTAAAGTTAGTTTTATATTTGCACATTCAGTCAGTGACATCTTGTGACATGCACCCTATATTGTTTACCATGGTACTTTCAAATACTCCGTCTGATATCACACGTAAATATGACTTCAAACAACATTAGCACTATTTAATTCACTGTGAATAATGTTGTACTTTGATAGACATTGGCTGCTACTATGATTTTGCTATTTAGAATTTGCGAAGAATACTTTTCCGAAAATACATTATTAAGGAGAAAGTCTGAATGTGTGAATATAAAGCTAACCTCACCTCAGTCCATAATGTTACCAGCATTAGTGGCAAAACTGGGGTTATACAAAAGGTAAACACACACAAAACATGTTACTGCACTTTTACTACAACTAATAAAACCATGAATAATATTCATAAGGGTGGCTAACAATAAGACCCCACAACATGTCACATAAAGTTGCAAAGAAAACAAACGGTCATGTTCGCATTGATTAAACAGACCTCAACTGAAGACTAATATCTGTTGGCGTTTGTTATAATTATATTACCCATTACAGAATTACAAACTAAGTTAAATAAACTTTAAATAAGTTTTAACTTCTAGGTCACTGTAAAGAAGCGATTTATATTCATTTATCTACATTGTACACCTCTGTTTCATATCGAGGCATGGCTTCACTTACCAAAAGTCCAGAATCTGTCGTGTCATTTAATGACTGACATTTTCTTGCAGACTCCACAAGCCAATCACGAGTATTGGTGCGCGCTCCCCAACTCAGCGGCGCTCTGATTGGCTGAAAGTTCTATTGTGGCCGCGTGCTTGAAGGCATCAAAGGCTTCATGCCCTTTGCATGAGACGTCAGTGCGACTTTGAAGTTCGGGTGTCCAAAGGCAAGTCGCGAGGAGGATGTCCGCGTCCGCGAGCCTGAAGGAATCAGACGGAGATCGGGACATGGAGCAGCGCAAAACCCAAGTGTCAAGCCATCCGTTCAGCGTGGAGTCTCTTATTTCTAGCCACAAAACCAATAAGGACTTTGAGAGAAGGCGAGAGGATGTGTCCAGTCAGTTTGCGCAGACTGAGATCAGGGATTCTTGCGGTTCGGCTGGAATACCAAAGCACTTTATGCTTCAAACCTCACCCGTCAAATCCGAGTCTCCTGAGCCGGATGACTGCACATCATGGGTTATGAACTCTAGATACTCGCAGACTCGTAAGAAGTTTACCTTATATACTTTTGCATTTCCACCCTTATTTTAAACTATGTACATTGCAAAAATGCTTTTCATACTTAGATTTTTTTTGTCTTCTTTCTAGTCCAAATATATATATAAAAAATACAAATAAAATCTTAAATCAAGCATTTTCTAGGCAAGCAAAACATATTTTCTTGTTTTATAATATGCCAATATTAAGTGAGTTTTTCCTTAAAACAAGGTAAATAATCTGCACATGGGGTAAGCAATCTTGTTTTTCCTTTTGACATACGACTATTTCGCTTGTTTTATGGAAAAACTCACTTAATTTTGGCATAGTATTTCTTAAAGCAAGACATTTTGTTTTCAAAATGCTTCTTGGTTAAATTTTTAGATATTTGGACTAGAAACAAGACAATAAATCTAAGAAAGAAAAGCATTTTTTGCAGTGTATATTTATTATAAAAATTATACGCAACTTGGTTTAGATATCTGCTTAATTTATATTTATTTCTAAAGGTAAAACAACTTCAGATTATTTCTTATGATAACACTTTAGTTTGTCACAACTCATGGTAATAATAAACCATAAACTAACACTACTAGCTTAACAAACCTGTAATTAGCTGTTTATTAATAGTTTGTAAGGTAGAAGTTAAGTTTTGGGTAGGATTAGGGATGCAGGGTATGATTATTCTTTATAACTACTAATGAACAGTTCATATCTTAATAATAGGCAGGTAGTAAGCCAGTTGTAAATAGGATGACTAGCTATTTTGCAAAGCAAATATTCGTAAGAAACAGAGGGCACTTAAATTTTATGGATATTTGTTTTTCACTTTTAAATGGAAACATGAGCCTACTTCTCTAAAACAGTGATGCCTTGAGAAGTTTCAGATTACATTTAGGGAAAGTTTGATTTAATGAAGATCATAACACATTCAAATGAAAAAAGTTCCCTATAAATAAATATATATATATATATATATATATATATATATATATATATATATATATATATATATAT